CCTCCCTTGATAAAGCAGTAACTCCAAAAGGTTGATTAATTGAATATTTATTAAAATATACAGAGAATGATAATATTTAGAAGTACTCTGGGTATGATATTACTGGCTCAGGCTATTGCCATATGCTAAATCAGAAGGCTTCATTTGGCTTTTTGACTTCCATTATTTCATTTCACACAATTCATTTTCATGAGTAACAAATTACAGCTATTTCATTTTGCAGATACAGTATAATTTCTCTTCCAAAACAAGACAGACATCTTGCAGGAAGTATTCAGTAATCCTTATATAATTCAGTTTGTTTCTATAGGGTGAAGACCAAGCTCTGAAGTGAGCCAAAGTGTATGTGGTTCATGGATTCTTTCAGTTTAGTTTGATTTAGGTTGACATAGGTGTGAAGAACATGTTGGACACACGACTTCAGCAGAGTAAGTAACATTTAGAAATTTTAGAATAGCTACCAAAAATGATGGTATGATTCCCTCATGCAATTCACACTCCCCTCTAATTTCTTGCACAAAATTGTTCTGTGATTTAAGTTCTATAAGGAAAAAAGTCTACCTCAATTTTTGTTTCAGGTTCATGGATTTGAGCTGTGGTGGCTTCATCTCATAAGCAAAAAGCATCAGGATAAGGCTCAGCATCTGAGTTGAAAAGCAGAATGTGGCACTACAGTATAAGGCACAGGTACTGCAGACCTTTTTGCATGTCAGTAAAAGCCCCAGAGTTACCAAAACGTGCCAAAATGCTAGCAGGTTTAAAACTCAAATGTATGTAAATTATGGTACAGTCAGTTTATAACACTTATGCTAACAAGTACGTCTGGGGATTACACAAACACCACACAAGTTATATGTGGAAAACAATCACTTTGCAGGTAAGTTACACACATAGGAAAATTTCATTTTCCACTCAGTGGAACTAGAGCTTTATGTACTGCACAAGTTACCCACAGCAGCAACATTGTGCAATATACCAATTCTTCAAGAAACTTTTTAATACAACTTGAGTGGTCCAGTTAGATAAACAGAAATCGTTACCTGAGTCGTACTTTTTTTGCTGCTTTCAAAAGCCAACTATCTGGCAACATCTACAGAGGCTTTTCAAATCAATGTCAAGGATGTCAGTGAGCATGGAAATAAGGTAAAGAATGATATATGTCCTCTAAAATGATCTTTTCATCAGAAAAAGTACAGCACTTGAACATTAAATAAATAAAGTGCATTTTACTGACAGCAAATTAAGATACAGCTATCAGACTGATAACAGAACTGAAAGCTTTTTAAGTTCACCAGTCATAGCTGGACTCCGTTAGAAGTCCTCTCTCTCTCCAAACCAGCTTATACAGCAAAGAGTGCAGGGAGTTAACTCTGCAGAATTTGTAATTTTTATTTTATACTGAATGAAGAACCCAGTTTTGAGTTTTGGTTCTGTTCCAATAAACACTTGGATTTTTATAAACATCAGTATTTAAATTTCCCTTATTCACAGTAGACATGGTATATGTAGTCCTTAGTAAAGCATTTGATACAGTCTTCCATGACTTTCTTATCAATAAACTAGGGAAATACAATGTAGATGGGGCTACTGTAAGGTGTGGGCATAACTGACTGGTTAACTGTTCTCAGAGACTAGTTATTAATGGTTCAGTCATGCTGAAAGGGCATAACAAATGGGATTCCACATGGATCAGTTTGGGGACCAGTCCTGTTCAATATTTTCATCAGCGATTTTGATAATGGCATAGAGAGTATGCATATAAAGATTGTGGATGATACCAAACTGGGAAGTACTTGAAGTACTTTGGCAGAATTAAAAATTATCTAGACAAATTGCAGAAATGGTTCGAGGTAAACAGGATGAAATTCAGCAAGGAAAAATGCAAAGTATTCTGCTTTGGAAGAAACACTTTCACACATACAAAATGGGAAGTGACTATCTAGGAAGGAGTACTGCTGAAAGTGATTTAGGGGTCACTGTGGACCACAAACTAAATATGTGTCAACAGTGTGACACTGTGGCAAAAAAGCAAACATCATTCTGGGATATATTAAACTGGAGTGTTGTAAGCAAAACACAAGGCTAGGTCTACATTTTTGCACAAGAACAGTTGCAAAAACTTGCAGAGCGACTACACTGCACGCACGTTCTTGTGCAAGTAAATTTACAGTAAAGCATTGGAAAACAAGGCTTCATTGAAGATTTTTAAGAGCAAGTTAGACAAACATTTGTCAGGGATCATCTATATGGTGCTTGGTCCTGCTGTGAGGGCAGGGGACTGGACTAGATGATCTCTCAAGGTCCCTTCCAGTTCTAGTATTCTGTGATTCTATAATCACTTTGTCTGGTAGATCAAAGGGACTGTCATAAAGGGAAAAGTCCCTAGGCCTGATCGATAAAAAGCCAGTGAAGCTCTATGTTACCCCTCTCCAATAGAAGGGACATAACAGAAGTGGCTAAGTGGTGAGAGATGGCAATAGTACAGCTCTACTCCACCAGTTCCTAGACCGCAGAACAGCCCATGCATAAGGGTATCACCAGCAATGTGAAACACATACCACCTTTACTCCTTTGCACACATCCTCACCACTGCCAGTCCTGTGCTGATCAAAGCCAAGTCCAAGAATTAATCCTAAGACTTAAGGGTAAAAGCACCTAAGTCCTATTTTCAAAAATGATTTAGGCATTTAAGAAATGGAATCTCTCCGACTTTGATCTGAGGAAGTGGGTCTGGCCCACGAAAGCTCATCATCTAATAAACCATCTTGTTAGTCTTTAAAGTGCTACATTGTCCTGCATTTTGCTCCGACTTTCAGTGAGACTTAGGGTATGTTTACACTGCATTCCTCTTTTGAGAGATGAATGCAAATGAAGCTGAGCAAAATTACAAATGAAGTGCGGATTTGAATTTTTCATGCGTCATTTGCATAATGGTGTCCGGGTGCTTTTTTCAAATACCCTATTTAAAAAAACGACAAGGAGTCCTGTGGCACCTTATAGACTAACTGAAGTGTAGGATAGTGATAGAGATGTAGTGTAGGAGCATAAGCTTTCGTGGGCAAAGACCCACTTCATCAGATGCATGTAGTGGAAATTTCCAGAGGCAGGTATAAATATGCAGGCCAGGATCAGGCTGGAGATGACGAGGTGGATCCAATCAGGGAGGATGAGGCCCACTTCTAGCAGCTGATCTGGAGGTGTGAATTCCAAGAGAGCAGAAGCTGCTTTTGTAGTTAGCGAGCCATTCACAGTCTTTGTTTAATCCAGAGTTGATTGTGTCAAACTTAAAGATGAACTGTAGCTCAGCAGTTTCTCTTTGAAGTCTGGTCCTGAAGTTTTTTTGCTGCAGGATGGCTACTTTTAGATCTGCAATTGTGTGTCCAGGAAGATTGAAGTGTTCCCCTACAGGTTTTTGTATGTTGCCATTCCTAATATCAGATTTGTGTCCATTGATTCTTTTACGTAGGGACTGTCCAGTTTGGCCGATGTATATAGCAGTGGGGCATTGTTGGCACATGATGGCATATATTACGTTGGTGGATGTGCAGGAGAATGTACCAGTGACAGTATGGCTGATCTGGTTAGGTCCTGTGATGGTGTTGCTGGTGTATATATGTGGGCAGAGTTGGCACCGAGGTTTGTTGCAAGGATTGGTTCCTGAGTTCGAGTTATTATGGTGCGGTGTGTAGTTGCTGGTGAGAATATGCTTCAGGTTGGCGGGTTGTCTGTGGGCAAGGACCGGCCTACCTCCCAAGGCCTGTGAGAGCGAGGGATCATTGTCCTTTTAAAAAAATACCCAACAACCCTTCTTTCGAAATAACCCTTAAACCTAATTTTTTAAAGAGTAAGAGTTATTTTGAAAGAAGGGTTTGGGGTTTTTTTTTTTTCCGAAATAACCCTGTCTAGATAGCAGGGGTTTTTTCAAAATAGGGTATATCAAAAAAGCGCCCGTACGTCATTATGCAAATGAAGTATGAGAAATTCAAAACCGTTCATTTGCAATTTAGCTCGGCTGCATTTGCATTCCTCTCTCAAAGGAGGAATGCAGTGTAGACATACCCTTCGTTAATAGAGTGTTTTGTATGAGCTTAGGTGCTATTATAATAAATACCTTTAAGGATTTGGACCTAATTCTCATTTGAAAAGGGGACTAAGTAAAACACCCCTCTCTCAAAACAAAGTCTCTGACAAAATTTCATTATGATCACTTTTCTGAATAGACCAGAAGCATTACAAGAAAATACTTTGGTTTGGGAGTTCAGATAAGAAATCGAAGTGAACAGGCAAACAAATTAATAAAATGTTAATCATGTGAGGTCTCATGACATTTCTATTTGATTTGCAGAGCTTTAATTACCAAAAAGTTGTCATCCTTAAAGTTTCTTCTCACAGAAAACCTCTGAAAATCTTTCTCCATGTCTAAATTTCTACCAGAACATCGGTTTGCGTACATTAACAAAAAGTTCCACACTAACCTTATCTGCAGGACACCTGGGACAGTTTATTATAACTTTAAAAGGAGATCACCTTTGTGACCCACAAATCCTCACAGTGTTTCTTGATAACAATGTCACTCATGCTCAGGAAGTCTTATCTTCCGTTTTCTTTCCTGAATGCCAAAGATCAGTGAGTTCAGTATAGCCTTTAAAAAAAAAAAAAAAAAAAAAGCAAGTAACCATTTAGCACATATGTCTTCCCAATTTCCCCAGATACAGCAGGTATGACTAGCAATCAGGTTAATTCTAAAGGCTGTTCCACAACTAGATTTGAAAGTTACTCTGTTGTATATTTCATTTGGGTTCTACCTGCATAAAATTACATGCACATTTGCATTGTGTGTCTACTCCTAATATAATTAATACTCAACTGACAAGCATGCCATTTATCAGTGCAGAAGCTATAAAGAAGGCCAAACACATGGCTGCCTTCCTGTTTGCCAATTCTGCATGCTGCTTTTATATTGTGTGGACAGGACCCCATAAATCACGTATGTAATTGATTTTTCTAATTATCCATACCAGAACACACTACCTCATGAGTTCCTGGCAACATTCTGGACATACACTAGATAAGGAGTTCTTAACCTTTTTACCCTCACACCTCCCCTGAAAGTGAACTTCATGTTCACACACCCCCGGGAGCCATTTTGTGCACTGCCTAGCCCTGACCCCTCATCTGACAGGAAGCTAAGGGGCATGGCTAGGACTATAAGAACTCTGCCAGGGAGCTCAGTTGGGGCCCAACCTCTGAGGGAAACAGAAGCCTGTCCAGAGCTCCTTGCTGATGAGGCTAAGACCTGGCCCGGGCCTCCCACAGGCGCCTTCCCTCAGGCCAGTGAAGGCTTCCCTGCCTGGGCTGCCAAGGTCTGGCTAAGCCAGCCAGCAGGGCTACTTTCTGACCTAGAGGAACCCAAGGTTCTACTGGTGCCTGGCAATTCCTGAGGCCTACCTGAACCCTGTTGAACCAGCTGGACCCCTGTATTAGATACTTTATCACCGGAAGCACTGTAGGATAGCTTCCCAGGGTTCCCCGGGTACCTTGGTGACTGTTTGAAAGTGTGGAAAATAGGCACTGTTGTGGTTATGGTAGATTTTCTGCTGTGTGGACACAAGTTGAACTATGTCACTTGGACCTGATATATGTGGACAAATCTGTAATTTAAACCGTACAATATTTATTTGTACAAAGCATGTGACAGAGCTGACTTTCACTGTCACAGAAGATTTTAAGATGTAGTGAACAATCACAGACTGACCTCAGCAGT